CCCCAAAACCCCAAAACCCCAAAACCCCAAAACCCCGGGCTTCGCTTGATATATTGAAAGTAAGAGATAATATCTGGCATAAATTCACACAAATTTTTTATGCCAAAAGAAAGCTATTTAGTTCCTTCTTCACTTTCTACATTCCATGCATCTTCGTTTCCACCATCTTTTCCTTGCTGCTTGATCTTTTTATGTTTAATCTTTTTCTTTTTATTCATCTCTTGTTGTATACTCAAGAACTCGAATGCAAAGTTGATATCTAAGCTCATGACTCCTTCTTGAGCAAGCTTGACTACATTTTCTTCCTCAAAGCCCAGACTCAGTCATTCATTGATGAACTTATTCTCTAGATGCTTGAAAAAGACATTGCCTCCTTCTTTAGATTGGGTTTCTTCCTGCTCCTTCATTCTTTCCAGAGTTTCGAATTTAAGCTTGTTTTGGTTCTTTTGTTTATGATCGAGGGGGAGAATTCCATTAGTTTCCATAAATTCTATAAATTGCTTCGGGATTTCCTTCAAAGTCTCTTTGACAAGATTCGCATAATTGTTATTTGTGCTTACAGTAGTCCACAAATTGGACTATATCTCTGGAACTCTTCTCGCCTGTGGAGGAGTGTAGGTCTCTTTTATCAGCATCTAACTTTACTAGAGTCTTGAAACTCTGCTTATGCTTTCCTACACCTATGAAGATTATGCTAAGAGGAGTTTTAGCAGCGAGAACAACCTCGTCAATTGTACTCTGTAAATCAGATAATTTCCCATTGGTGAAAACTAGGAGGATTGTATAATGTTGATGAGTCTTGTCAATTTTCTGGAAACTTGTCATTTCTGTAACGAATCTTATAAGAGGGGCCATAGCACTAGGCCCATGGAACTTAATTTTATTTTATCATCTTTTTGTAATACCTGCAGATCTCATCTACTCCGTCGATCTCAGGATCGAACATATTCCCATTTAGTGCAAATCAGTGAGAGACTGAGTTAAAATAGGGAGGGAGCTTTGCTCCAAATCCAAATACAGGAATTACACTGTCGCTATCATAATAACTAACAATTTCTCATATCTTTTTGATTGCCTTATAGTACTGATTATTTAGCTTTAATCTTGTTTCCTTCAATGTCAATATAATAATCTGCATGATCGTCACTGGGAATATGATGGAGACTTTCAGGATCATTGATTTCTTTATTAGTCAAGGTAAAATCAATTGCAATTACTACTTCAATGTCACATCCTCCAAAAATGTAATCAAGGAAGGTAAATTTAGTGTCAACATGACACTTGAGACATTTGACCATGCCAATAACATTTTTGTCAAATTGGAGACGATGCTCCATTTTCTTATCAGTGTTGATATCCCATAAGGAGAAGTCACAAGCTCCAAGAAGTTTGCTTTTATTTCTTCTTCAATGCTTCAAAGACTTCGAATCTTAGAGGTTTATATTCATCTCCGTTACAAAGAAGAGTCAGCTGAATTTCGAATTCATCCCATTTGCTTTCATCGAACCTGAGGTTCTTTATATGTTCAGAGGTATAGACAGTTACGTAATCATCGTCATCTCTGTAACGCTTAATTTTGTAAAAAAGCAAGCCTTTGGCATTCTCAATATCCTGAACACAGAACTGAAATTTAGCCACAGAATTCTTCTCATTAATCTCTTCAATTTTGAGGATCAATTTTGTGTCTTTGCTCTCTAACATTTTCTGTATTTTAGGTTTAGCATGATTCTCGAAATTAGTCACATGAATACCAGACCTGACTATGTCACCAACAACCACAATTTTTATTGCGCCACATAAGTATGCTTTTCGAGTGGGACTCCTTCCTTGAAGTCATCAACATCGTAAAGCTCTATCTTGATCCTCTCTTCAGTGTCATAGTAGTAAGCCATATTAAAGGACTTCTGGAATGTAGGATTAGGAGTATCCCTCAATGCTTCAGTCAGTCCTTTCAAAGTCCACTTATTAGACATATAAGACTTCTCAGTATAGAAAGCTACAAGCGGATCAGCAGCTGAGAAGGTATCAAGACTTGGCAAATTCTGACACCCTATTATAATATCTATCAAGGAGAACTTGTTATTCTTAGCTTTTGCTTGAAAGACTTCTTGATCTTTCTTTTTCCTCTCCTCCAGCCACTCTTTATCAATCCCTGATTCCGAATGGTGAGAGACTTTATTCTTGGACTTCATTCATCCCATTTTTATGAAATATTCTATTAATTATAACAGGAGTGGGGTTTTGGGGTTTTGGGGTTTTGGGGTTTTGGG